CCATTCATAAAGACGGAGATTTACATCAGCCGGTTTACTGAGGTTTAATTATCAGAAGCCTCGAAGCTTTTGAGAAGATCCATGTCGGAGAACGTTTAATAGAAAGACAATAAAAGAGGAATCAAAGAATTTACGGCCGACCTTGTGATTCTGCTCAGAACATGTGATTATTTATGTTTCAATCTGTCTGATCCAACGAACAGCTCAGTGACGGTTTTTACTTTAACCATGAAGATGGACGACAGCTTTCAAAAGCGATAAACAAGCGGCCTCCCTGGAGGCTGGCTGCAGTATTATATGTGTGTTCAAGTGTTTCTGTGAAAAAACTGTAAAAATGGTTTTGATTTAAGTTACTTGATGATTTAAAAAACTTTAATATTCAGTCTTTTCCTTAGTTTAATTTCCAAAAAACAATCCCACACGTTTCTACCTGTCCACCATCTTGGTTTGAAGGAAGGATGTTCCAGATCTGCTGTGAGGAAAATAACGTGCCTGGTTAGAAGAAGGGGCCTGTGGTTGGCAGCAGGATGAGCAGATGTCTCTGGCAGCAAATACAAAAAGGATGAGTGTATCCCCCCCACACACACCACCTCCTCCATCGCTCCCATTCTCCCCCGCTGCATGCTGGGCAGGAGCCAGTGTCGCTTTGCTGATACAACCATTGCATTAAATATGATATGAGCCAGTCAGCACTGAGGCAGAGATACTTCCTTAGTCAAGTGAACACAGTTGGTCTGTTGTCGGCTCCTGAGGAGATTCAGGGGAAAGACTACAAAACTACATGTTTTCTATTTAAGTGGGATAATATGCTCACAACAATTTGAACTGATTGACATTTGTGTGGTGACAACAATGAGGACAATGTCCTCATAGAACCGATTCAGCCGAGTAGAGAGCATTTCAGACACAAGCGTTAAAACTAAGCCCAGAAGAGTTTTCTGCTGCTTCCTCCAGCAAATGATGCTTTTGAAAGTTACACGTCTCTTTTCCCCAAACAAACAATCTCACAAAGACACGGGAAATCAGACGAGAAGCAGTGAGAAGTAACCAACCCTGCAAATTATTCTCCTCACGCTCACGGACATAACAGACGTCAGCTGTTTTTTTTTTTTTGTCGAGCAAATCGGCCTCATGCTGTTGAGAGTCCGGTCACGTTTCTGCTTAATCATGTAGAAACTGCTCTCTGCAAATTACACCAATTCTAATCATCAGGGATGGAAGCAAATTAGATTCACAGGTACATTTGAACAGCGAGGAAGTGATTAACAAGTTTCCTCCTGATCACAGCGGCTGCAGAGTGAATGTATAAACGGCTCCGTATTGACCAGTAACCCGTCTGTTCCCGTCAGCGCTGCTGTTGGTTTTAGGATTTCGACAGGAGCTCCTCCCTGGAGCCAAAGGTCAAGCTTCACGATTCCAACCTTCTAATTGGCATCAGTTTCTGAATTGTTCATTTCAGGAAGTGCTGACCCTTTATTGCCCGGTTTAATTGAACCCTCTGGAATAAGCAGCGAGCACCATTGACCACTTACAACATTGATGGTTGTAACTTCACATGCAGATATCCAGAATGCCTCCAGGCTACACGTGTCTACATGCTGTGTATTCCTGCACATCATCATAATTCTGCATAGTTTTAGTAGTTTATATAAATCATCTTCTCGTCCAGATTCCTGTTTTCCCACTTGCTTAACAACCTTTTTGCACCTGCCTCTGCATCGACCGCGGCTTCCTCTTGACCATCGAGAGCAGCTTCCTGCGCGGCAGATGCTCCGTGTTCTGCTTCAGGGGAAAAACGAAGCGTACGGCTGCCTCGCTCATATCAGAGAACCACAAGCCAACGGAGGAGGACTAATTAAAATTGAACGCGAGGTTGAGCCCCGATCCAGCGTCGCCTACTGGGAGCGCATCCTGAAAATCTGCTTACAGTCTTAGAAAGTGCGGGGAGGAAAATCCCTGACTGCAAATACTTTTTTAATACCCACAGAGTGGACATTTGATTTGCCTAGAGCGGTTGTCCGAGTAATAAATTAACATTTTATTCTGGCAGGTGTTTGGTTCATAAACTATCAAAACAGATGATTGTGGTTAAGTCTGTTAACCAAATAACCTGGAAAGCTGCTTCCCTGCACAATAATTAAAACTTACGCAGTTAATTTGTGGTGTGAAAGCAAAACAGATCAACTACAATAGAATTGTGATCAAATGTTTGTTTTAGAGTCGTATTAGCTGGAAACTCAGAACCTCAGCAGGAACAGACAACGACCGAAGAGACGAACTGGGAGCACAGACACCGAACACGGGAGGGAGGCTGATTGGTTGACTGGGAACAGGTGAAACACATCAGCAGCTGTCAATCACTAAACTGAGAAACAGAAAAACACGAGGGGAAACAAGCAAACAAGGATGGACACTTCAAAGTAAAACAGGAAGTGACAGAACTAAATAAAAATAATTAGCCAATCTGAGGTTGTTGGTTGCTGCGGGTTGAGTGACAGCAGAGAGAGAAGAGAGGTGACAGGGGGGAGTTGGTTTAAATGTTCCCCGGTGAAGATGGTGATGATAGGAAAGTGTTTGTTCCATAGTTTCATTTGATCTGTAAGTTTTGGTTCGGAACCCTTCACACCTGATACTTTTATTTGAACTTGCTCCAAAAGCTCTACAAGCATAACTTTTGAATAGTTTACATCGTATGAGCTGGATTTAATTTAAATTCTGTCCTTTTCTGCCGTCGGCCTCAGTTCCGGATGTCTGCCCCCACCTCGGTCTGCGTTTGACTGTTTTGCTCGGTGCACTCGTGACTTCTGACGGGCACAGCTCCAGAGGGGACGTCTCTTTGGATGGGTGACTTTGCATTTTAGGCCGGGATGCATTCAAGTGAAAATGTCCTTGTACCTGTTTACAACAGCTGGATGCTTGAATAGTTCGGCATCGCTGAGCAGTGGCCTTTGAGGTATGTTTGCTCCCGTTGGGGGCGGCTGTGTCCAGACTGAAAATTAATGCAGCTGTAGCAAAGAACAAACAATGGAGGAGGGAGGCATTCACTCGTTCTCAACGTTCCCTGTGATTCATTTGAAGTCGGAGGCAAATGTTCGGGTCCTCGGTTCTTTTAATGGCAGTTTCAAGTTTCACACTTGGTTTTAAAGTTATAGTTTGAGTAGATGCATCGCATGAGTAGATGTATGTTAAAAAAAGCCCATTTAAATTACTTTATGTAAACTGGTGCAGTTCTTCCCTTTTGGATTTCATCCAGACTGAAGGTTCCTCATTCTTGCTGCTTTCAGACCTGCGCTGAAGTCCAAACATTTTCCCTGAAACTGTCCAGAAGTGAACTGTATGTGAGAACGCTAATCTCAGAGTCAGTTGCATTTTCCGCATCCCTTCCTGCAGCCCTCAAAGTAAAATACAACAAAGCTGTAACTGTCATCTTAGAAGAAGAATCCACATTTTCAGATTGTCATGTTTATTTACATTCTGTGATCGCAACACATCATGAGGCCGAGTGCACTAAATCCAAACTTGTCTGTAAACAATTTGGTATTTGGAGAACGCTGCGTATTTGTTCGTGTGCAACGTGACGTCCATGTTGATCAGGTGAGTTTTCAGCCCCGCAGTTTGGAGCGTCTCTGTGGCTCTGACCAGAGAGGAAGGTCAGTCCAGCGGGGGGGGGGGGGGGGGGGGGGGGGGGGGGGGGGGGGATGCAGATACACAACAGCTCTGCATTTTATCTCTCACTTCAGTCTGTCGGTGTAACCATGACGATGCTGTTTTCACTGAACTGAGACGTATGATGGACTGTCACTGTCTTTTTCCAGAAGACATCTGGCAGCCTCATTAATAGGCCATGTGTGTTTGTATTATATGTGTCTGTGTGTCTGAGAGGGGGGGGGGTTAGTCCTCGCTACTACTACAGGCCTGGACCCGCTCGTCTCTATCGTATCCAGCTGTTTTGTTCAATCCAGAGATTTGGCTGACCCCGCCTCTCGCTCCGAGCTGTGATAGTAACGTACGCTCCTGGAAACACGCCACTCCAAAAAAATCAAAAATCATTAATCCCCTCAGGACGGACAGCTTGGGGATTTTACCACCCATATTATTATTTGCAGTCTGCAGCACCTCGGACATGAACCGTCACTGCGACGACAGAAAGCTGCTTTTATGTTTCATCAATCTGTTGGTTTTTGAATTTATCATTCAAGGACGATTAAAGTGGAGAAATATGAGCTTTTGTTTTACCGTATATTCACTTCTTCATAAATCGACTGGGGGATGAGGGATGTTTGAACCAATACATTTCTGTCCAAATGATATAAGTCAAAATGTCTAATCAAGAAAATTCAATCCTCAAAAGTCCACATGTGAAGAATCATGACAGTCACCATCACCTCTACAGTTGGAAACTTGAACCAATACACTAGACTGAAGTATATTTCACCTTCTTCATTAATGGAGCGACTCTCTGGCGTCGCTGCTCAAACTGCTGCCAGTTCTCGCAGCTGGATGTTGAAACTACTTCATCAGGTATAAACTTTTATGAACCAGAGCACTTGTTTTATCTGCAAACCATTAAACCCAGCAAATTAATGTGACTTCAGAAAAATGCAGTTCACACATTTTGGCTCAAATGAAGCGTCATTCTCATTATCCGAAGTGTTCATCTATTATACTTTTAATTAATTAACGTCACCCTGAGTTAAAACGGATTCGATCATGAGAGATGTGTGCAGACTGATGGGTATTATTTTATTCTATTGATGGTGAGAACGGAGTCCTGGTAAGAAAAAGCAACAGCGTTCATTCTTCGTTACATTACTCGTTACACGGGGGATTAAAGCATCATACGGTGGCAACACATGGCGCACATCCAGCCTTTAAATCTGTGGGACGCTTGATCCCGCTGAGCGCAGGAGGGATGGAGGAGGGATAGGATGGATGGGGGGAGGGATGCAGGGTGCAGCATCAGTACCACCGGCAGCAGAGGCTCGGTCAGAGTGCAGCAGCAGCAGCTTCTCCGCAGCGTCACCGCACACAAACACACAGGAGCAACACAGACTCACACAGTCGACCTAAATTAATTTAGTAGCGCAATTATCCCAAAACTGCCCCTGGGTATTCAGCAGCAGCCGGAAAAAAAAAAGAGAAGAAATTAACGAAGAAGGAGGACGAAGGATGTGACAGATGTTGGAAAAGTCTGGTTGGATGTAGAGCGGAGGAGGAGGAGGAGGAAGAGGAGAGGAACTGTCCTGAACTGAGAGATGTTTTTCTGCTGCGGACAGACGATGATGAAGATTTACTGCAACGATTCCTTCACTGAAATCTTCCTCTGGTGAGTTTAATTTTCAGATTCAAAACACATGAAGCTACTTTATTTCTTTTTAGTTTTCCAGCAGTTTGACTTGATTCTGAAGCTGCGTCCCTGCGTCTATTTATTTATAGCATGGATCCAGTTTGTATTTAGGTCTTAATCTGACTGAATCTCTCTGTGTAATGTTCCTATAGACAGTGTCATAGTGTGTCATTGTACATATACTTCATTTATTATTTTAAAGTCCTTCTGTTGGTGCTGTCCTGTTGATTCTTTCAACTCTAATA